AAAAAAAACACGTATATCACTTTGGTGCTCAAGGTGTTGATGCTTACAGTTTCACCTGTAATCTGCATACTATATTCAGATACTTCTTCATGAAAGAAAATTGTGAAGAGATTGTTTCTTACCATATAAAAATCCCAACAGTTGCCCTTAAGCTGTTTGTGAAAATGACTGAACGATATAGTTAAATTTTGTTGACAAGGTAAATTCAAATTTTGTTGAATGCACGATATAGGTAATTCAATCTTTCTTGAGTATTCTATTTGTGTGAATGAATTAAAGCAGCAACATTTTTTTTTTTAACTATCAAGTTATTGTGTAATTTATTAAATATAAATAATTGACTATTCGTTTACGTTCAAGTTAGTAATGACCCATAGTTATTAAGTAATTTATTAAATTATAAATAATTGACTATTTCATTTACGTTCAAGTTAATATCGACCTGTAAGTTATTAATGATTATTTTTTATTATAAAAAACTTTTTATTTTTTAATAAATCCCCTCCCCCTATATATTAATCCAGAACGCGCTGAGCCTACGTGGTTTGCTTCTAGTGATTCGGAATCCTATGTGGCAAAATTACATGTTTCGTTATTAGGCTTGGGTAAATTTTAATTTAATTTCAAACCAAAAATAATTAGGTTCGGATTACCATAAATATGTTGATTATTTATGGTCATGTTACATGCATTAATTGCATTTTAATATCATTCCTTATTATAACCATTGAATTGTATATGTATTTTAAAAGTTAATAACTTTTGTATTTTTTATCAGTTTACATATGTAATATATCAAATTAATCTCTTTTTGATGAGCTTCGATTTAACATCCATATTGTATGTATACAAAATAATTTATATTTATCTTTATAACAATAATAAATTATTCTTAATATTAATTAGAAAAATAAAATTATTTATCAACTAATATATTTATATTTCAAGTAGTTATATGATATAAGCTATAAAAACTAATATAATATAACACATGTAAGTCATAAGTAACACATATCATTCTAAAATATATAGTAATATTTTTTTTTTGTAAAAAAATAAACTAAATTTAATATAGTTTTTTCATTAATTTTAAAATTTAAGAATAATTTTTTAACAAGGACCCGTGTAATACACGGGTGTTGTACTAGTTATATACTAAATTTAAACCATACAACTAATAAAGGTAATAGCTGCAAGTTTGTCAATATATTATATTCTAAATTTACATCATACAACTAATAAAGATAATTGACGCAATATTTGACCAAAATGATTTTGTACATTAATTGAGACAATATTTTTTAAATTTTGGTAAAAAATATTATTCAATATAGTAAATACTTTAAGCAAGAAACTAAGGGGATGATTGGATAAAAATTTTTTGGTTTTGTTTGGATTTTTTTGTTTGGTTTGGTTAGTTTTGAAAAAGTTGGTATGGTTAGTTGTTAGTGGATATGTTAAAATAATATTTAAAATTAAATGATTAAAGTTGATTTGATGTAAAGTAAGAAAGAGGAGATTTGAAGTGATGATTAGTTAAAAAAATATGTGAGTAGATGAATAGTGAATTAAAGTGATGTGGTGTGTAATAATGATTGATTTGATATTATTTAATTATATTGATAATATTGATGATAGTGAGGTTGAGTTAAAGTTGAGTTAAAAAAGTGATTGAGTTAAAAATATTTGGATTTTTTTGAGATAATTTTGTATCCAAGCATGCTCTTTATGTTTTGTTTGCTGATTTTTAGTTACTATTTCAAGTAAATATCATTGTCTCTTTTTGTATATTAATAGAGTGCAACAAAAATAAAATAAATCATAAAAGATAAAAAGATACTAATTAAGTATTTAATTTGAAACTATAAAATTGCTTTATATAAAAACAAATTCCTTTTCAAGTGAAAATAACTATTTTTACGTTTTGAAGTATTGTTAAGTTTTTCATACCGTCCAATAAAAAATTAAGTTTTTCATCTCAAAAAGTGTGAAAGGCATTGTGCCATGAATATGCGCCAATGCACGATGACATTGTGCCAAAGTTAAAAGTGCGAAGACATTCTCATATCCCTTGGCACTTTTTGGGATGGGAAAAAAGTTAAAGTGCGAAGACATTGTGCGATGAATATGCGACAGTTATGCAATTGATATGCGACAATTTTTCGTATAACCTTCGCATATGCGACAGTTTTTCGCATAACCTTTGCACTTTCCGGGTGAATAATTGAAAAAGATTTTTTCCTAATTTTCAATTCCAGTCCACTACCTCCGCCCTCTCTTGTTACTCGATTGCTCCGCCACCGGAGCCTGCCCAAGCCGGTCACCGGCGATTTCGAAAAATTGAACTACAGTTGCCAGAAAATAGTGAAATAACTACGAAACCCATTTTCCCCCCATTTTAAAGTTCCATTCTTTACTCGTCGCTTTTACCATTTCGGTTTTGCTGTCAATCTTGACTTCAGGTATTTCCAATTTTATTCGCTATTTTATTTATTTATAATCTTTAGTTGGCACTAATCTTAATTTCTCTTTAAGTGGATTTTTTATTTTTGAAAATTTGACTGTTAATTTGCTTAATTTTACCTTTTCGTGGATGGGTTCGTATAAAGTCTCGTTTTTTTGTTCTTCATTTCCTCTGAGTTTTGTTGTTCTTGTTGGAGAATCTTGTGAAGAACTCGTGTGAGTTTTGTAATTGAGCAATCAAAATATTTAGGGTTCTTATAATTTTTAGCTTTTCTGCATTTGCTAGCTGTAATTTTAGTTCTTTAATGGTGCTCAAGGTGTTGATGCTTAACTATACTCAGATACTTTTTTATGAAAGAAAATTGTGAAGAAGAGACTGTTTAGTACCATATAAAAATCCCACAGCAGTCGCCCTTAAGCTGTTTGTGAAAATGACTGAACGATATAGTTAAATTTTGTTGACAAGGTAAATTCAAATTTTGTTGAATGCACGATATCGATAATTCAATCTTTCCTGAGTATTCTATTTGTGTGAATGAATTAAAGCAGCAACAAGCTTTTTTTACACCTAAAATCGTTACAGTTGTGGTCCAAATATGTCGTGAAGAAATTTTTATCGCATTGCATGTAATTGTTTTCTTCGAGTTTTCAGCCTTACATAATTCTTTGGGAAGTATTTGTTTGTAGTTTCACAGACAAGAATGTGAACCTTTTTCATGTATTCGGGTGGAATGAGCTTAAAACAAATTTTCTCGGCCTAAGTTCCATATTTTACATTTTTTTTTTTTTTTTTTTTGTTTTAAAAACTTATTTCTTGTTGGATAGTTAAGAGGCTATGGCCCATTCAGAACCTGCAAACATAGACATCAGTCCATATCAAGCCAACAGTGGGCCCCGAAAACCCCACATTCTACTTGCCGCCAGCGGAAGTGTGGCAGCAATAAAATTCTCCAACCTCTGCCACAGCTTTTCCGAGTGGGCCGAAGTTCAAGCTGTTGCTACTAAAGCATCGTTACATTTTGTTGACAGGGTTTCGCTTCCAAAGGACGTGATTCTTTACACTGACGAGGATGAATGGTCGGCCTGGAAAAAAATAGGCGATAGCGTGCTTCACATTGAGCTGAGAAAATGGGCCGATATAATGGTCATTGCACCTTTATCAGCAAACACACTTGCTAAGGTAACAAACAATATGATTTTTTTTCTGAAATTTTGCCTTTGGATGTAAAATTTGTTCCGGTAGTAGGCTGCTAGGAGTGAGTGACTAAGGACTAATTGAATTGAGTGTTTTCCTTACGATGTCGCGCTACTCTGACTTTTTGGTCCATTTTCGAATTGTTGTTTTAAATTTCGTCTTTTATGTTTGCAATAAGGTTACAAAACGGTCTTTTTTCGCAAGATCCCATTCGAAAAAAAGGTTGCAATTTTATTCCCTTATGTATGCAAACACAAGGGACGATGAAAATCGAAACAGCAATTCGAACTGAACGAAAAAAGTTAGGGGAGTGAAACATACATGACTAAAATTACAATTTTCTCTTATTTCATTCGACTTAGCTTCTATGTTTTCTCACCTTGAATTAGATTGCCGGGGGGGTTTGTGATAACCTGCTTACGTGCATAATTCGGGCATGGGATTACACTAAACCGATGTTTGTGGCTCCAGCCATGAACACCTTCATGTGGAACAACCCTTTCACCGAACGGCATCTAATAGCCATTGACGATCTTGGGATTTCTCTCATCCCACCCGTGAAAAAGAGGCTCGCCTGTGGGGATTATGGTAATGGGGCAATGGCCGAGCCTTCTCTCATATATTCGACCGTGAGGATTTTCTTCGAGACTCGGGAGCAGTCGAGTGGTGCCAGTGTTTAGCAAAAGATCGATTAAGAATTTGTGTTCATTTGCCCTAGAGCTAAATCTTTTGTTGTTTTGTTTTGCTTGTAGAGATGGACTTGGTGTGCTTTTGTGTTTGTGTTGTGTATGAGAATTTATGAGCATGTCAAGGATTCATTATTGTTGCCTAATCTGCGACTGTTATTATACGGACTCATAGTTTTTGGCAGTGTTTTCAGACCCGGCCCGGACCGGCGGGTCGACCCGGGACCCGGTCGACCCAAAGCCAGACCCGGGCCGGTTTGGTTAATTAGACCGTTTTGCATGTGGCCCGCTATTAACTCGGGTGACCCGTCCGGGTTTGTGGTGACCCGGATGACCCGAATGGCCCGGTTTCTTTTAATTTTTTTCCCTGACCCCTGTTCCTAATGAGGTTAGAACGTAGAAGTTGAAACGATTTTAACCTAAAGCCCAAATGAAAATATTTCTACTGATCTTTTCTCCCATCTTCTAATCTTTCGAACGAGAACATAAACCATGCCGGGAAAAGGGAAAATCTTTGTGCTTGTCTATTCGACTCTCAAACATCTTGTCTTCATCACGTAGTCAGGTATGAAGCTTCTGTAAATTTTTTTTTTCTTTATTCTGACTCTTGGTAAATGGTAATTTGATTGTTAATTTCATATAGTTTTTGTTTATGGTTTTTTCTTGAATTCCAATTAGTCAAATCTAGTTTCCTGTACAAAAATAAAAAAAATAAAAAAAAAAGAAACAAAGCTTTCGTTTTTGATCTGAGGCTAAAAAATTTGGCTCAATATATTTGAGCTTTTGGTGGCAAGATATCTTTTTTAGGTGGCAAGAATCATAAATTAATTAGTAATAGCTCCAATAATTTTTATTGTTCGCTTCATTTGCAAAGATTCTACAAATTGGGGAAAGGCTCCACAAACTTTATTAATATTAGCTTCATTTGTTTTTTAATGGCTTGAGTAAGAAATTGGATTCATAGATTTTGATAAGTAAAATGTTGGAATCATTTTTATTTTAAAGTTTATGATATTATGTATGTTTGTTTTTTTTTT